ACGTCAGGGAGTCGACATATTTTGATTTTTTTTATTTTATACGGAAAATTTATGGTTTTTCGGGATTGAAATTACTTACAATTGTTTCATGAAAAATGAATGCACCCAAAATGACTATAGCATTTTGACTTTCACATACGTGCACTCACTAAATTGATTGGTAAATTCAAAGAGTGGGTACATCGACCTGGTATATCAAGTTTCTGCGATTTTTTACGGCAAATCGGTAGATTTTCGGGATGTGGATTGCTTACTTTCAATTCATGAATGAATAAAGCATGGACATGGTTGAGCTTCTTTGCATGAAAAGACGTTTAAAATAACAAAATCAAGACATATTTAAGACAATTGCATTTATATCGAGTCAATTTCTTTTCAATAATATAACGGGATTTATAATACCGGTGATTTGGGTATTTTAGCCCCAAAATACCTTTAAATCGACTTTATCTTCTAGGAGTTCGACAGAATTTTTCCTTTCTTCGCTTAAATTTTTCCGTAGCACTTTTCTTCAAGAATCTGAAAAGATTTTGCTTGAGGCAGATCAAAAAACTTAAATTTGTTCGAATAGCTTTCTAGATTCACAATACACGGTCTCGTGAAGGTGCGTCGTTGACCTTGCAGTGTTGGATCGTGAATTCTCTTGTTGTGCTGCTTGCCTTTTTTGAAATCTCTGTAAATGAAAACTAAAGGGGTTGATATGTGCGAGTTAATGACGCGCCTTATCAACACATTGTGTTGGAGTTCACTGCTTGTTTTTTCTTCTTTTTTAAAGGAGGAGGCTTATAACTAAGACTGGATTCAACCCCCTTCGTAAACCCTCTCGTAAAATCCGACAAAACAAGCTTATATCATCGAGTTCCCCCCCTCTCCCCTAAAAACCTTAAATAAAACTTAAACAGCCTTCAAATTATTTTAAGAAAAGCTCCAGGCATCCACAAACTTTGTCTCTCTCCTTCACCAGGGGGCCGATTATTGATATTAATAGAGAAAGCTATAGACAAGGAAGACAAAAAGGATGGAGATATCCTATTGGTGGAAGCGGGTGGTTGCAATGGACAAAGGTGGTAGGTAGTAGACTAACTAACGGCAACCCACGAGAGACCCGACAATTAGTCTATCATTTTCTCCCTTTGTCTACAGGAGCCACCCATTTCAACCAATAGGATCGCTCCACACTCCCAATGTCTTCTTTGTCCATAGCTTTGTCCATCAATTTCAACAATCAGTCCGCTGCGGGGTGATCATTGAAATTGATAGACAAAGCAATATGCGAAAAAGACACAGAAAAAATCGAGCAATTCTATTGGTCGGAACGGATGGTTGTCATAGACAAAGGGGGGGGGGTGATGGAGAAACTATTTAATCTACTTACCTCTTTTTCCCTCTGGAAACGCCCGATTCCACCAATAGGATCACTCAATTTTTTCTAAGTCCTCTTTGTCTATAGCATTGTCTATTAAATTCAATAATCCGCCCACGCAGTGACCACACCACCGTGGGGACTGAGGACGTCAATTCAGGGAAGCATTAATGGACTTCCCGCAAAATCGCGGAGACTTGCGAGCCAAGGTCCTTTACTTGTTGCTCTCGGTTGGCCATCCAAGGGGTGAAGGTAAACGGCGGGGAGAGGGGCAGGAGTGGATGGGGGGGGGGGCTACACTCACATGGTAATGGAGGATGCAGCGGAGCGGCATTTCAGCGGGGCTGAAGAGACGTCGAGTCGTCGCGAATCGCCCCGCCAGTATGCGCGGGAGGAGCGCTCCCCATCCCTGCCCGTCGCCCGTGAGTTCGCCGCACTTGGAGTCCCTTTGTACCGAGAGTCAAGACAACACCCCCCTCATGGAGTCACAAACGGGAATAAAGATTGCAGAAATTGAACGTTTTTTGTAATCTTCGATCGGCCCATTCTCAAATTCCTCTCTCGGTTCCCTCTCTTAGGGCTATTCCTGTCAAATCGGGTCTCAACTGCTAGTTGACGAACTACCAGTTAAAGGTAACTTCCAGTTCGACCTGAAGGAGAGTCTTGTCACTGATTTTCAACCTCTAGTTCCTGAACAAAGACTACTTGCCAAATAGTGCATTAACATGATTTGTTCCCTCATATCCTACATCAGGTTGTTTCTAATGTCTGGGAACCCTTGCCGAAAATTCAATTAGCAGTTGAACGAGAGGATAGAACAACCCTTGCAAAGAGGAGGGTGCGGGTGGCGGGGTCTGCAAACCGAGCCCAGGTAGTTAAATCAGGCTCTTTGTGAACTAGTGAAACGCGAAGAACCGGAACGAATGTTTTGTCTGAAGTCCTAGTTGAAACCTAACAGGCAGAAAAAGCACCAGTTGAAAATCAGCCCGTTAACAGCCTCTCAACCAGTAGTTGTAAATTGACAAGACACACCAACCTCTAGTTGGACCTTAACAGACAGTCAACTACTAGTTAAATGATTTGACAGGAATGGCCCTTATTCCGTTTGTTCCTTGCCGAACCCGTAATACCCTGGTCCATCTCAGATTATAATCTTTGCAATCGGTGAAAATGTAATCTTTATTCCCGTTGCTGACACTGTGAAGGCCTAAAATACGAGAACCAATCAGAAATGGATTCACATTGTCTTGACTCTCAGTATAAAGGGACTCTAAGCGCACTGTGTCTTCAACAACGCCTCACAGTGCGGCCCTCGGTGGACGAAAAACAAAACTTCACAACTCGACATCTGAATATTTTTTTTAGAGTTTGTCATCTTGAAGATATTTCTGACTCACTATGATGGCTCATTTTCAAATTTTTTGCTCAAAACCACTTCAAATTTGGATAGAATGTGGGCGGGAAATGGGTCGAGAATGACTGGTCCATAAGAAATACACGAGAAAAAGACGTCAACTTCAAATGAAGATTTCTCGTTTGAAACGCAAAATGCTCTGGGTGGTTGACATTTTCTTAATCTTCAGATATTCAACTTCCAACTCCAAACCATTTCAAATTTGGGTAAAATGTGGGCGGGAAATGGGTCGAGAATGACTGGTCCCTAAGAAATACACGAGAAAAAGACGTCAACTTCAAATGAAGATTTCTCGCTTGAAACGCAAAATGCTCTGGGTGGTTGACATTTTCTTAATCTTCAGATATCCAACTTCAATCCTACGAAAAAGATCTTGCGACTTTTTGCGACTATCAGAGATATTTGAAGTTAAAGTTTGGGTGTTTCACGTTGCTTTTACATTGTTTACATAGGACTGATTCGAGGTTGCCAACTTTAAATGGACTTTTCTCGAAAAATACGCAAAACATCCTGAGATATGACATCTTATTATTCCTTGAGTGTTTTACTTTGATAGTGCTGAAGGATTTTCCTATGTCGGTGCTGTTATCTTCATTATTTAAAGTTAAGTGTTCTTTTGCCGATTATTGTCCGCATTGTCCATAAGGATGCCGCACTGTCCGCCTATGCTAAGGAACAATGAAGTTCAGTGGCAATTCTTGAAAGTTGGCAACCTTTTTTTTCCCCCGTTTAAATGTATATGTAATATAATCGTTCCTTGGTGAGGTTACGGAAAAAAAGTGCCAGGTGTTATCTTCTTTTGTGGTACTTCGGCATTTTGAATAATGCGGTAATTCCGCATTTTAAGTTGGGGTAGTGTATGCCGCAGCATTTAGGTTCGTAACCTAATTTATTAGGGTGCTTTTCACTAATTGTGTTCCTATATTTTTGTTGCAGGTAAGTTGGCCTTTGTTAAAGCTTACATGAATGCGTTGCGTTACTGAAAACCGTAAGTAGAATCCTCGTAGCTTAGTATTTCACAGTGCTTTGAATAACATAAATCATATTCATAAAGAACGGAGACCTCCTTCAATACAATTTTCCGGTCAGACGCCTCTGAGCCCGTTTTCTGGAAACTTCATTTTTGCACTTACTGTTTGTATCCCGAGATTCGTCGACTCCTCTAACGAAATGTTCACCTGTGCTGTGGTATCCTTTTTGAAGCGGAAAGCTTAAAAAAACGCAAATTACTAATGCAGATTGTGAAGGTAAGAGTGCATTTCAGAGTTTGCAGATGCGCTCATCGAGATTTTTGAGACATTATCTATGATAACTCTTGTTTTTGCTTTTGCAAAAGTTTGCAAGGCCCATTTTATGCGTGTGATAGGTACTATTTTTCAACTTAGTTTAATTTGAACCATTTTAAGCCGGTGCAAACAGCATACCTATATATACATGCACGATGCATGAGATTATATCAATCAAGGAAATAAACAGGCTATTTCGAGAAAAGCTTGACCTCGTGTTCTCCTCAACTTGTGCGTCGGCCATGTTGAGAGAGGATTGAATGGAATGACTTCTCCAACGAAATGTTCAGTGTTCACCTGTGCCGTAGTATCCTTCTTGAAGCGGGAAGCTTAAAAAAACGCAAATTGTGAAGTTAGGAGTGCATTTCGGAGTTTGCCCATGCGCTCATCGTGATTTTTGGGACATTATCTATGCACGGAGGAAAAAAACTCGTGCGTGGGACCCGAAGTTTAGGTCATATGGATCTCTGAAGTTTTTGGATTGAGCATCTGAACACTTTAAGTCTAGCTGTCGAGGTTCGGATCACACATCTGAAACTTCAGTTCTTTTATCTGAAGTACTTCAGATGTGAGAACCGAAGTTTTTCGGTTGTGCAAACCGAAGTACTTCAGATGCAAGATCTGAAGTTTCAGGTGTGTGATCCAAACCTCAGCAGCTGGACCAAAAGTGTTCAGATGCTCAACCCGAAAACTTCAGAGATCCATATGGCCTAAACTACGGGTCCCACGCGCGAAGTTTTTTTCTCCGTGTGGAGGCCTAAAATACATGAACCAATCAGAAATGGACTCACATTGTCTTGACTCTAAGTATAAAGGGATTCTAGTCCCTGTTTGCGGGGCTCGGTGTGCGGCGCGGAGCTGGCGGACGGGCGGCAGGGGCGCGGGCGTCGCGGCGTGAGCCACCGTTGCCGGCCGCGCCTCAGTCATGCCCCCAGCGTCGGGACGCCCGGCCAAGTTTCCCGTGCCCCTCGTCGTCTCGCTTCCCGGCCCGAGTTCCGGCCTCGAGTCCCCCGACAATCGCGAGTGTCTCGTGCTTCTCATTTCCGCGCCTTCTCACTCGCGCCAACTTACCGGCGAATGTGCGAGTCGCTGCTAACCCCCGGTCTCTGCTAACGTGTGAGTGCCCACGCCTTGGTTCGCAACTACAAGTCGCCGGGATTTCAGCGGATCCTCATATTCGAATGCCGTTCTGCCGTCTTACCGAGGAGATCAGTAATTGCGGAAACAAAAGAGAATGAACCTAGTAGCTTCCGGGCAGAAAATTCTATCATGAGAACCGGACTAAAAAAAGAGTGCCACAACCTCAACTATACTTCCAGCTGATTTTAGCGCCCAGTAATTGCACTAGCTAGAGGTGTAAAGGCACCAGCCAGCGGTATAGTTGATCCAACTGCACTTATGTTGATTGTGAGGACACCAGTTAGAGGTGTGGTTGATCCAATCACACTTTCAACTGACTTAACCATGTCTCTGGTCTGTGCAACTATTCTGATACCTGGCGCCAAGATCAGCAGTATAGTTGGGATCGTGATACTTCTTTCTCCGTGTGTCCGGTCCGTCTGGCGCAAAATTGTCAATAATCATTCAAAACACGCTTAGAAGTCATAGGATGATGGAAAATTACGAATTTTTACCTTGAACTCCATACTGTTGGCCTTTTCTATTTCATGTAAGGCAAAACCACAGCATATGCTATGTTCTGCTTGTTTGCGTGGTTACATTTTTGGGACACAACCAAATTAATTTTGAGGTTCAAAATTGGTAGAAAAGAGTACTATTTTACTCAAGACAGCAGTTAGTATACAGCTCTTTCGTGGAATGATGCAGACTTACTGCTGTCTTGCCTGAAATATCGCCAATGTTTGCGCAGTCACTGTTTTCTCATAACTCGTTCTTTTTAGAAGTAAGAGGAGATTTGCTGTTCTAGCCGAATGAGTCCGTTCATTTAAAATAGATTCGTGGAATTTAGAAAGAAACTAGCTTTCCAAAATTTGAGCGATACTGCTCTCTTCGGTAAGACGGCAGTGCGATTCTTTAAGGCTTGGTTCGGATTTTGAGGTCGTAGGGGTTCTTGGGAATCTCGATCGTTGAGTTTTTTAGAGTGTCGTTGTGCATCGCTTCCGCCTTGAGGCATTGAAAAAAGAGCAAAAGAGCGTTTCTCTCGACGCTGTAGGTCGAGGACACTCGCTAAAACGGTGAAGGAGCTATCGCTCTACAGGTTACACGCATGGAAGCACACCGTAAAGTGATATCCTCTCGATGAAACGTCGGGAATCGGCGTCTAAACAAGGTACGATATGAAGCACCGCGTCTGATTTTCCTACCCAAAATTGAACGTAGAAAGATGTTTCCGGAATGGAGACTTCAAAAATCAACTCCTAAACGAGAAATGAACCTTGGCGTTTAACAGTGGTTAAATGGAACACAAATCATACAAAACGATGTCATTTTTATGTTTGTTATTCATCAAGTTGATGGACTCTAATGAAGAGGAACCAAGTTTTTGGCAGTGGAATGCATCGAAAACAAGTGAAGTTCATTTAAAATTCGGGATGTGAAAAAAGTGGGTGAGAACTTCTAAAATGGTGAATTACCCACCACAGCAGTTAGGTTTACATCTTGGCATTGCTAAAGTAACAGAAGTAGCGGGTAATTTAGCATTTTATAAGTTCTCTCAAACCTTTTTTTACATCCAGAATGTCGAATCAACTTCACTTTTTCTTCGGTGTGTGCTTGTCAATTGCCAACTAATTAAGCATCGATGTTGTTGGCAAAATGCTTAACTTGCGCGCAACGGCTTGCACAATGTGAACGTTTTAACTATAGTACGCACAATAAACGATGTCGATTTAAATATTCTTTCAGGACTTCCAAAACAACTAATTAATTTTTTTGTACATTATTGACCTGACATTTTGAAGAAAATATTCTATGGAGTTATGAATTTTGCTCATTTTTCAATGCCTAGAGGTTGAGAATACATTGATGGAGATTCATCGCCATTTACCTATTTTCGTGCAGCAACTTATTTTATCATTTTAGAAAACAATTCTTTTTAAGTACAAAAAAGTATTTTAAAACGTCATTAATAACGTATCCATCTAGTTACCGGCGAAGATCAAGGTTCGTCAAAGACCACACGTCCATTAAATTCGAATCAAGTTTTCTATTTCTTCTTCTTTTTTTAATGCAGCGTCGCATGTGCATATTTTTTAATCACACTACGTGGTATCTCATTCTTTATTACGTAGTTATACTTTTTTCGATCAAACTACACGATGTTGTGCGCGGAGAGTTATTTTTTATTTATTTTTAGCCATGCACGAGTTTATTATCATATGTAAAGTATTGAGAAATTGCGGAACATTTCTTTAAAATTTCAGTGATTTTCGAGAAAAATATCCAAAGTCTTACGATCAACTCTGATTTTTTTCTTCTTCTTCCTTTTTATTTATCTTTCCAAAAAAAAGCAGTGTGAAGTGCGCGAATTTTTACTGGAAACTAAACCAATGCTTAGAAGTCTTTCGACGTTTCTGTTGTATTTGTGTTGAACCAACGGAGGGGTGCAGTGAAACTTCGCGTTCACTCTTTTTCAACCGCTATTTCACATACACCCATATGCATAATTATACATTGGAGAAATTTGGCTTCAGTATTTATGGAGATGATCAGTGGATGCCCATTTGATCTCCTAAAGTATAGTCCATTATTGATTTTTTTTTTATCTTTACTCAGAATTTCTTTGATCGGGTTCCTGCAGAAGAATAGTGAGTACGTAATATTTTTCAAAAGCTTGATCACAAACTGAATCAGTTTCAGTAGGTTTCTCGTTTTTTCAGTTCAATTTTTATTCATTTTGTTAAAAAAATATTCTGTCCTCATATTGAAAATGAGTTTAGTCAATAGTTATAGACTAGCTTATCGAGTTAAATGAGACTCCAGCTCAGAAGAAATCAAAGTGATTCTGAGTCAAGTTCATTAGAGTGATTCAGAGTCAATAAGAGTCAAATGAACTTAATTTTAGTCGTATGTGACTCAAAAGTAGAGTCAAAGTTAGTTTGATCTCATTTTCAATATGGGAAGAAAATATATCATTATTTTTAACAGAGTCGTGTGATCTGAATGAAGTCTCGAGTTGACTTTATTTTTCAGTATTATGTCCCTTTTACTTTAAGTATACACGGAGACAAGTTTTCTATTTGATCAATAGAAGATCCCATCAATAATTATTTATTGAGTAGAATGGGTCAGTTGCGCTGGTCACAGAATCGTGTTTTAATTCTTGATTCTTGTGGATTAGCTAAAAATAATAAGATATTTTCAAACAGCAACTTTCGACGTTCTATATTAACAGAGATATCGCGCTTTGAAAAAATCGTTTAATGGCGTCATCCACCGCGGTAGTGGCACCCTTTGTTTCTTCCACCCTGCTTTCATCAGTCAGGAATACACACATTTTCACTGGTTACTCAACGTAAAACCCGAATGAAAGCAAGAGGGTGTCACTACCGCGGTGGATGACGTCTTAACCCGAATTATTCAAAGACCAATATCTCAATTAATATTAAACGTAGAAAGTTGCTGTTTGGACAGATCTTGTTACTTTTAGCTGATCCACAAGAATCAAGCATCAAACCACGATTCTGTAACCGGCGCAACTGACCCATTCTCATACAGCCAACAGCTCGAATCTCCTCGTTTCAAACGGTATTTCTGTTATTTTAAATTATACGTCCTGCCAGTTCAAAATGCTTTTCGTCCGGGAATTATACCCTGGACAATTTTTCTCAGTGAAAATCGAAATCGAAGTCTGTGTCGAGGATATGGAACGTATTAGCAGCTATTTAGCAATTAATGAATTCCATTTGGCCATGCCTCCGCTTAATGAAGGGGCTCAAATTCACAGTGCTCATTCATAATTCAGAGGGATCCCTCAGAAACCCCTGCGCAGGGTTTCTTCCGAGCGGCAGAGTATCGAGCAAGGCTAATAGCTGATGCCTGCTCTACTGAAATACAAAACAACACCTCCCAAACATGTTAAAGTCGTCAAACGTCCTCCGCCAAATTATTTGAGGCCCTATATGTAATAATCGCGGATGTAAAAAATTACCTTTTCGAAACACTCAAAAAACTATTTTGGTCACACAAAAATTTTATAAATTTGGCTTTGGCATAAAGCACAGATCTCGCAGATCGCATCTCAAGTATTTTCTCAAAATCTTCTTGATATACCAAAACAGTTTTTTGAACGTGCTTCGAAAAGGTCATTTTTCACGTCCGCCATTGTTACGTATAAGTCTTCATTTATTTTTGAGGAGAATCATCAATATTGTTCCTCGAAAATTTCGGGCACACTGAATGAAAGTTTGAATAAAATTAACTGTAAAATTTGAATGGCCCCTAAGTTGTTCGAGAAATTTGTAACTAATACGCATATATGACAACTTTCGCATGGTCTTACGGCGTTTTTCCGCAGCAAGGTAGTGTATCGGCATGGCGGGCTTTGCCGTGTGTCGATTGATCTGTCATTTAAACCTATTAAGAAGGATCGATAGACAGAGCATTCGCAATGAACACCTTAATATCGATTCTTCACCGTAGGACCAAATTTGGAAATATCGATAATCGATCATACACGCCTCGCTACTGAGGTAGTACATGCCTCCCTTTCCATGCCAGCCGGGCGGAAAAGAAATCGAGAGCATTTATCGGATTTTATTTTTATGGGAAAAATGAAAAGACCATTCCCGCCGGATCCCAAGCTTTTTGCGGTGCCGTCGAGTTTTACTGTTGCTGTCGATAATGGAACACCGCGCTTTTACGGCCCAAGTGTTTTTACGGCTTTTCCCTATCGGACGACAGCACTGCAGAAAATATCATCAGAAAACAGCACAGCGTGTCATCTCGGTGAAATTAAGCGCGATCACACTTCGAAATGTTGGAGGACCACCTCTCCACGCCCATGTTGTGGAACATCAGCAGTATTCATTTCCGTTCAAGTGAATTATGGAGATGCCGACATCTTTGTTAATTTGATCACTTCAACCGGTTCAAGTGTTCAAATTTTGGTTCAGGTAATACTTCTTTTTTAAATAGGTGTACTAAAACTCGTATTC